GAATTCTACAGTGTGAGCTTTAGGGAGTCAGATCCAACACTGCCTCCCTACCACCCCATTCTCCCGACTTCAACAGGAGTGATCTCCTCAAACCTCCTCAAATAAGGCGTCAATCACTGCCTTGTAGCCACTCCTCAGTCGGCAGGACTTCTGCAGCCCCACCATCCTGCTCGAAAGGAAGATTTTCAAGACAATGTAAGGCCAGTATAGACCAGCCGACAAGATTCTACAGCACAGAATCCCGTTCATTCAGGAAATCCTCCTGGAAAGGCGGGTTCTGTAAGTGACTGAGCTCGTGGCCACAACATGCGGAGGTCCACGGACAGTGCCGGGAGGAGGGAATCAAAGCAGCACCCGGGACTGAGGCCAGGCCCTTCTCCCTGATCCTGTCCTGCCTCACCTGTCCTCAGGGAAGGGAGGGGCCCTGCCATGGACCCCAGGGGTGCCTGCCTACCTGTGGCGGGGTGAGCCCATCACTGTAGCGGGGAGGGGTGACAGGACAGTACCGAGACGGCCGAAGCGCATCATCAGTCCACAGTATCTCTGCCCTCCTCCAAAGCCCCTTCCGGCACCCCCTGGCTATTGGGTCAGCCCTGCCTTTTCTGGCCACCTCGATTTAAGGTACACTCACAGGTGGGCCTGGAGTAGCCCAAAATCTTGGGCTTGTGGGTCACATCTAGTCGGCAATCCTATGAGCACCTACTGTATGCATGCTTCCTGTTCCTTTCTGGACCCCATGGGAGTGAAGAGTGCTTGTCAGCAGCAGTTTGACCCTGCCACCCAGCAGAGAGGCGTGCAACACAGGCTGAAGCAGGAAGCCCCTGGGAGGGGCGGGGAGGAACTCTCAGCCGGCTGGGGCTCCTGGGCAGCAGAAGCTGAGAGGCAGGAAGAAAGGGGGCTCCTGTTTCCCGAGTAGAGGGGCAGACTGTTGGCAGAAGTACCACCCCCTTCCTGAGGGCCCCAAACCCTCCCTCTGCCTGCCCCCTACCCCAAGGGAGTGCTGGGAGGTGGGGTCAGTATGCCTGGCGCAGCCACCCACCTTGAGCTTGGATCGTCGGCTGCAGGAGGACATGGCAGTGAGCTTCCTTGGCCGGCCTCTCGGCCTCTTGCCTCTCTTCCGGTTCTGCACCTCCTTCTCATGTTCCCTGAAGGCACACTTACTAGTTAATGGGGGAGAAGCCCTAGTGCATACCCCTTCTATCACATGGGACTCTATGGCTTCCAGCACCCTATTGCTGTCGGCCTGCAATAGCTTATCCTGTCTGCTGCAAACACATCATCAAATACCCAAGGCAGAGGTCAGACCCCATTTTTTGCTCTAGGGTCAGTAACCAGCCATCCCATTTCATTTGGGTAAGGACAAGCTGAAGAGAGGAAAGCAACGCTGGGAAAACGATGATACCCCAAGTTTTCTCCGACCTCTCTTAAGACAGCTTCCTGCCGGTGCACTGCTGCGTGGAAATTCTAGCATATCCTAACCAGAAGTGGCCTTGGTGGCCACACGGTCCAACCTACTTACTTTCAATAGGAGAAGGAAGCCCAGGGCAAGGAGATGCCAGCAATCCCCTGGGCAGCTGCCTATGCATGAAACCCTCACCCAGGCAAGGAGCAACATGGGCCCTGCCCTCCAGCTCTCGCACAGCCTGACTGCTGGCGTATGACTCTCCTTGTTTCCTTTTTAAAAATACCTCTGTTCCTAAACTCTACTCTTGAGGGAGATAACAAAAGAGCCGAGTTCTGAAGCAGGCAGGGCTCAGTGCATGCCCCACCCTCAGTACCCCCCGAAGAGCCTCCACACCTCCTGGGTCATGAAGCGCTAGTAGAACCTCCAGCCCCCAGGGAAAGCTTGTATTTCAGGCTACTCTCAAGGGAAGGGTCCCTGGTAATTACACTGGGCAAACATCATCTCACTGGGGCCTGGAAGACAACCTCCTCAACGCAGTTCTGATCAGTACCAGGCAAAGCTCACACTCCAATTAAGTACTGGTCCTTAACCCGAAATCTCCTAAAAGGCCAGTGAAGAGTTGCATGGATCTCCTCCGCTGAAATATTAACCTGTGGACGGAGTGCTGTGAGCCTGTGCGTCGCCAAGGGCCATACCCCCACCCCCTCCAATACCAAGCAGGTAACGGCCAGCTCCCAGTGCCCAGAGGGAGCTAGCGTGTTGGTGGATGGAGAGGGCTGAACAGCCACCTTCTCCGTTTTCTTTCTTCCACGATGTAATCCAAGCCACCCGTGGGTTTTAAACTCTTGTTATCTCAGGTGTTTCTGCTCTAACCAAAACCGGGGGCAAGGGAACAATCTTTCTCAACTGTTAGGACACTGTTAGATGCAGAGAAAAGTACCAACCTCTGAAGTGGGTCAAGCCATTCCCCCACCCCAAGGCTCACAGGACCCAGACAGGAAACAACACAAGACAATGGGTTGCCATTACGATTTTCCAAAGGGATTTAAGCAAGCACAGGCTCCTCTTCTTTTTACTCACCCCATCAGAAAACTCTTCTTTCCCCACTGTCATGTCCCCTCTGGGAAGACCCAAAATGTTCTGCTACAGCGGAAAAAAGGGAACGCACCTTTCGCCACCAGAGAACAAACCTGTCAGATTGACCCTGGCTGGGAAAGACTCCGGCAACCAATTCTTCTGCCTCTATCCACAGGGCAAGTCCAGCCAGGGGAGCCAGGGGGAGCTGTCAGTGAAACACCCCACGCCTCGCCATTGCTTGAGTAGCACTCCCTGGTCCTTCATGCTGGGGTGCGGTGGGCACATCCACTGTCCTCTCCTCACCACCCCTTGCCCTCGAACATCTCAAGGAGGCCTATCTCTTAACCCAAGCTTCCTACCTAAAAATAGAAATGACATCTACAATGACAGAAACAAGTCTGGCCCAATCCGGTCCCATGGGGCTATCTGGTACTGTATGCTGCAGGCCAGAGCAAAATAAATGTTTCGTTCTTGAGAGACACCACGATAGGTACAAGCGCACGTTGTGTGTTCCAGCTCCCTCTCTGAGCCTTCTCTTGCCTGATGGCACACATGTGCAGGGCTGGAAGGGCAGGCCTGCGTCACTGTGGCAAACCTGCTATCCTGGTTTTCTGTTAGCGCCATGTGCAAATTACTCAGCAGAAAAGGCCAAGAGAAGCTACATCTTTATCTGAAGCAACTGGAAAAGTTGGTTTCTGCAAGTATGGCTGTCAGAAAAACCAAAGCGGAACTTACTTGGGGTCTTCTCAGGGATGGATACAGGCTGGCTGGGAGAAGGTGGGAGAGGGGCTGGCTGGGGACTTTTATAGCCAGTCACAGAGATGGCCCTGGAGACAATCTTGCTAAGGGACCTCAGACCACAGCCCCAGCTCCAGCCTCCGGGCAGGCGAGCAGCGCCCAGCACGACTCTGCAACCAGCCACCATCCCTCCCCCACGCCCTCCCCACAGTGCTGTCAGCGTCCTCACTTCTTCTGGAAGGCCAGGAGCAGCCTTGGGTCCAGGATGTTCTCCTCCGGCTCCCAGCTGTTATGTCTGCAAAGCAGAGGGCAGGGCAGCATTAGACGCCAGGCTGATGATCACGGCTTTGCAAAGCAGCCCGAGGGGGCCCGCCCTCACAGCTCCTCGACTCAGGCCGATGGCTGTGGCACCGTAGCACCATGGCACTTCTCAAAGTGCAAACCCCGGTTTTGGAGGCTGGCCACCCCCCACCAACCCAGCACTCTAACCTCAAACCCAAAGGGAAACTGCCGCTCCAACTCCCCAATTAAAACAAGGCCACAAGAGGACTCCCACAGTCTCTGCCTGGGAGAAAAACAAATCCCAATAAAACGCAAAGTTGCAGAGAGGGAATCCCCCAAACCCTGGCCTGGAGCCAGAGAAGGAAGGGAAGGCAGGTCCAGGATGCAGGGAGGGGCACAGGCGCCCAGCCCGAGATCCAGAACAATGTGGCGCGCGGGCCGGGGCACCTCGAGGGGTAGCAAAGAAAGAGCGCGGTCCGGGGAAACGGGGCCGCGGGAGCAGCTGTGCACAGAGCCCCTTCCGGGGATGCCAAATCCCCTGCCTTCCATTAAAAGAAAGAAAAAAAAAAGAAACCCCACATCCATCAATAAGAAGCTCAGGTTACAGCAGAGAGAATCTAGCCAAGAAGAGGGGGGCTTGCATCCCGCGCCTCCCTCCCGGCCGGGGCGGGGGATGGGGGGAGCGCGGCGCGGGGGCCGAGGAGGTTCCGGCGCGGGGGGCCGCCCAGCTCTCCCCCGCGGGCGTGTAAACAAAGGGCAACCTCGGGCCGGGCGGCCTCCGCCCCCTCAGAGCCGGAGGAGCCCGCGGGGACCCCGCGAACTTCCCGCTCAGCCCGCGGGCGCCCCCAGGCCCCCGGACGGCGCGGCCGAGGGCTCCACGTCCCCACCCCCGGGCGAGGGGGCGGCAGGGCGGGCGCAGCGTCGCGGGGGACTCACTTGGAGGACCAGCCGCGCCACTTGACCAAGTACTCCAGCTTGCCCTGCGGGGAGAGAAGAGGGGCCGTGAGCCAGACGGGCGGCGGGCGGCGGGAGGGGGCCGGGCGGGCCGCACGCACCTTGCGGAGCCGCTTGCTCAGGATGCACTCGGCGGCGAAGACCTGCTCGCCCACGCTGCTCAACTCCTCCATGCTGCCCGGCAGCCCGCCCGACCGCGGCGCCCGCCGCCCTAGCCCGGCCGCACCGCCGCGCGCCCCGCCGGCCGCACACAAAGCACCGCCCCCGCCCGGCGCCGGCCCGCCCCGCGCACGCGCACCGCCTCTCCGCGCCCGCGCCCAGGCCCGCCGCCCGCCCCCGCGCGCTGCCCAAATCCCGTGCGGGCCAATCAGCGAGGGGGGGCGGGCGCGGGGCGGGGCGGGGCGTGCATTGTCCGCGGCGGGCTGGGAGTCGCGCTCCGGTGGGGGGTCCCGCGCGGGGTCCGGGGCGGGGGCCGGGTCAGGGGCGGGGGCCGGGGCCGGGGCGCGGGCGCGGGGGTGGGGGCGCGGGCGGGCCCCTGGCTGGGGGAGGAGGTGCCTAGGGGCTTCGGCTCTGAGGCGCCCACCGAGTACCGCGTGGTACCCGGGGCGCGCCCGGCCTTGCTCCCAACTCCGTTTTCCGGGCAAAAAGCCATTGTTCTGGCTCTAAGGGAGGGAAGCGGGACGGGGCGCGGCGGCCGCTTCCTGCCCCCGCCTTCGAGGGGCGCTCCTCCGGGGCGCGCGGGGCCCCCACCCTTCCCCGGCTTCTTGAACTGGCTTTTTCTCGGCGGTGGGGGAGTCGCTCTGCTTTGGACTGGAGTAAAACGGGTCGGGGGCTGGGGGAGGAAAGGAAGATGAAGTCCGGGGGAGGGGCCCACAAACCTCGGCAGCCCAGGCTTTTCCCCTCAAAAGCGAGAGAGGAAAATGCATTAACTGAAACCACCAAGCACTCTAAGAAAGAAGTAATACGAACTGCCCGGAGTTCTTACTAAACAGCTGTGAAAAGTGGATCCAGTCCCCGAGTTTTAGGGCACGTGTAGGTAGAAAGCCAGCTGCACCTTTTCTGTATTTGTTCCCCGATTTTGATGAAGTGGAGGGGGAGGGCGCGGTTTGCAGGGCTGTTCCTAACTTAGGACTAGGTCAGTAGTGGCCCGCCAGGGCTGGACAGCCGGCGTCCTTCGAATCAATTGTCCGCGGTCGAAAAGGGTCAGGCCACGTTATGAAAGTGGGGGTGACCCCTTGTACTCCCTGGGATCGTAGTCCGCAGGCTACCCTTTTATTCCGGTGTTAAGATTCTAATTCCATGAACTCACCCTTTAAGTTATTTAGATTTTGAATCAGGACAACTGAAACATGTAATGAAAGAGATAGACCTGAACCATAACTTGACTCGTCTCAATGCAATCTAACTCCATGAAAGTTCACTCTGCTTTTGTTGCTTACTTGAATACAGCTGCAAAGTTCTCTTTCTGTTGAACAGATCCAAAAGTCGTTTATTGTTGTAGGAGACTGTCTCAATGTAATTGTGATCATCAACACCATATTTATAAAGGGTTCTGCAGGAGAAATATGTTTTTTTGTTTTAACAGAAAGGCCTACTGGAGAAAATACTGAAGTGTAGGAACCGATCTTTCCATTTATGGCGTGTTCTTCAGTTTCTTTGGTTAGGTAAGTTACATTCATTTGATTTCCTGGAGAGAACGTGCAAATTCAGATGTTGTTTGCAAAGAGGGCAGGAGAAAGGGAAACGTCCTTGGGGGGAAGGTGTTTGTTTACTCAGGGACAGAGGCAGTAAAGAATCCTTGTGTTGGGTTAAAACTGGCCTCTGGAGTGAAGGGATCCGCTAACAGCCTCTCCGCCTGGCTCCTTTTGTATCCCGTCTTGTGCAGCTTGGCAGTAAATTGTGGAGTTGAGGGCAAAGGTGTATTTATTGTAATCCTACAAATAGCTGGATCAGTTTCACATCACGTTTCCTTGCAGAATTCATCTTGGGTCTAAGATTTTGCCCTGGAAGTTTCCAGTTTTCTCTTTGACCCATGGCATGCTGGGATACTTGCTTGATTTCTTTTTAAATAAAAGAAGGCTTTGAAAAGGGAATGATTTCTTTGCCTAAGAAATAAATTTGCTAGAATTTGATACTAACACATTGAAAAATAAATCAGCGTCCTGGAAGGTTTAACATGTACATCATCTACCTAATTGCAAACACTCAGTTTGGGTAAAATAATATTTAGATAATTCATTTGGAGAAACAAATATGACAGATTTGGCCAGAATGAAATAATCAGATACATACTGGGAGCGTGTGATCCAAAATCTGTGGCACATTTTCTAAAAACAAAGCTGGGAGTCGGCAGAAGGGAGGAAAGACCCCAGCTAATCCAACTGTGTAAAACAAGCGGACGTCTTCCGTTTTGACTGTCACATTTTAAGAATTATTAAGACCAGTTAAAACTAATTATTGTATTATTCATTCGACAGATAGTGAGTATGTACTATCAGGTGGGCACTACTAGATATCCAGTAGTATAAGACCGTAGCAGCAGCCCCATCTGTGGAACTTGTGTGGGTGATGGAAGTGGATGGACAGAGCCTCCGTCCACTGCGTCCAGTGTGGTGGCCGTTAGCCATCTTTGGCTGCTGAGCACTGGCAGTGTGGCTAGTGCCACTGAAGGATCGAATTTTAAATTGTATTTCATTTTAGTTCATTTCAGTGGGAATAGCCACACGTAGCTGGTGGTCACTGTACCGGCCGCTGTGCAGGTCCACAGGAACGCGAGGGATCTGCTTCAAACATATTTTAAGTGAAAGTAATATGGTTACATAAATTAATCCTGGAATATGAGTAGTTTACCTACGCTCACAGTTATGCTTAATTATATACGAGAATGTTTAAAATATACAAAAAAGATATTAAAAATCCAGGCACAGAGGAAGATATTCAGAGAGTACAAACTTTGTATGGTACTGAGTTCCTTTCTACGCAAGTGATAAGGGCAAGTATTAACTTATTCATGTCTGAAATACTACTAAGAAAGCATAAGTATTTTCACGCCATGCTTGTGGATCGAAAATTAAAGATGCCAAAGCGAAGAATGACTCTCTCTGAAGTCGATGGAAAAGTCAGGAATTGAGATAAATCCAGTGACCCTGGATTTAGCAGCTAAAACTAGATAACAGTAGTTACTTGTTACCAAATAGTTTCAGAAAGCTCTTACATTTTCTAAAAGTGCTGTTTCCCTACTGCCATCAGTGGCATTGGCTAAAAGGAGGAACCAGATACCACCACCAGCCGGTCTACATGGGATACACTCAGGATTTAGAATACATCACACATTTACATCACATTTAATATCTTATGTCATAGTTTGCCCCCAGCTCCTCTGCACATTTGCAAGACTAAGATGTGACTTACAGGCTAGCTGTGTTAATGTTATGCCATTTCTTTGTGTGTAATAGATAAATATTACGTATGCGAGACAGACCATGCTTGTGTATCAGAACTCAAGTAAAAATAAGCACAGTTCAGGCCTTGCAGGATTCCTCAAGAGTTCAGTTTGCCTAGGGACCCCTGGACACACGATGCAAATGTCCGCCCCTGGATCCTGACCCAGGATACCCCAGAGGCAGCCCGGGGCTCTCAGCGTTTAGAACACCTTCTTACAAAGGGCAGCCTGCCCAATCCCTTGCTGTGCACATGAGGCAGATGAATACAAACTGTATCAGGTACAGGGCTGTGGAGCCTGGTCCTGCTGTTTCCCATGTTTGCCTGGGAGGGGCAAACGGGCAGGCTGTTATGGAAGTGGTGAGAGCCTGCTCTCAGGAGGCCTTCCAGGGTCAAAGGCTGGAGCAACCCCTTATGTTCCTCGGATTCCCCTCACCCTCACCCACCAGGCCACCTAGCCCATTGCAGCACACCTAAAGACAGGCTCAGGCTGGAGGCCCCCCAACCCCGCCACGGATCCTGGAGGCAGGGGGTGGTTAAGGAACACAGTTACAGGAGGTGGGAAATGGACAATGAGCTCATTTTATGATGATGGTCCCCTTGCAGGAGGTCTCCGTTACATGAAACTTTTCTTTTAAAGGGTGTCATTTATGAGTTTTGCAATCAGATGGGTCCCTGATTCCAGTTTCTTACTATTAAAACAGTGCAGCAGTGACCATCTTTGTCTTCCCATATGCAAAGTACCAGCGTAGCTACAGAGTAGCATGCACAGACCTGTATTAAAGGGGTATGTCTTCTCTGTGGGAGAAAGGAAAAAAAAGGATACGTGGCTCTACTTTTTTAGTTAGCTATTACCAAACTGCCCTCTGAGGGTCTGCACTAATTCACACTCACACCTGGGTAGGTGGGGTTGCCTCTGTCCCCCCTTCTCCGTAACTCTAGTAATTGCAAGTGATCTAGTGTTGTCTGAGCAACCTGGTGCTCAGCTGGTCCAGCAGTTCAGTGCGCATGCCACCTCGGCTTTTTCCAAGACCTTTGCCTGGTGTCTGGTGCAGAATTGTTACAGTGCAAAACAGTTTTATGAGTGTAAGTTTCCAGGGTGAAATGCAGTATTTTCACAATTTAAAAAATAACAGGCCAGGCCCAGTGGCTCACGCCTGTCATCCCAGCACTTTGGGAGGCTGAGGCGGGTGGATCATGAGGTCAGGAGTTCAAGACCAGCCTGGCTAAGATGGTGAAACCCAACCTCTACTAAAAATACAAACATTAGCCAGGAGTGGTGGCGTGTACCTGTAATCCCAGCTACTCGGGAGGCTGAAGCAGAGAATTGCTTGAGCCTGGGAGGCGGAGGTTGCAGTAAGCCAAGATCGCACCACTGCACTCTAGCCTGGGTGACAGAGCGAGACTCCATCTCAAACAAACAAACAAACAGACAAAAAAACAATACCATACACTCACAAAGCTCTAAAATCTAGGAGTGAAACCCTTAGAAACAAATGGTTCAGGGATTCTAAGTGATGAGAACCAGTACACAGTTCCTAAGTGTGTTAATCGTTCCTCTCTCCTGGAGGTGGCCTCAACATCCTCTATAAATCCTTTGGGGACAACCCATGGGTTTAAAGATTGGAGAACTGCATTGCAAGACCCCCTCTAAATCGAACGCTTGTTCTATTTTACCGCCTGAGTTACTTCTTGTCTGAAAGAACCCAAACACAGAAATGTTGTTTAATGTACACACACAAAAAAGAAACATCCTGTTGCTTTTTGGTGGGAGAGTGTAAAGATCTGTCCAAGAAATTCCTTTTTTTTTTAAAAAAAAAAAAAACCCTTTCTTTCACTGTTGTTGGCAAAACTCTCACGAATGGAAGAACTGCAATTGGAGTCAGGGAAGTTTAGAAGAAGGGACTGGGAAATCCTGTTTTATAGGTGAGAAGAGGGCAGCCCAGAGCGTGTCCAGGTTCCCTGGGTGGGTGAGGGTCTGAGGCTGGGCTCCCACTGGGGCAGGGCGGCACCTCGCCAGTGAGGCTGCGCCTCCTCCACCACCATCCACCTTGGTGGCTGTCAGCTCAGCCACGAGAGTGGGGCACGTGCAGGTGACGAAATAAAAACATTCAAGAGGGCCGGGCACGTTGGTTTACGCCTATAATCCCAGCACTTTGGGAGGCTGAGGCAGGTGGATCATGAGGTCAGGAGTTCAAGACCAGCCTGGCCAACATGGTGAAACCCCATCTCTATTAAAAAATACAAAAAGTAGCTGGTGTGGTGGTGGGTGCCTGTTATCCCAGCTACTTGGGAGGCTGAGGCAGAGAATTGCTTGAACCGGGAGGCGGAGGTTGCACTGAGCCAAGATCGCGCCACTGCACCCCAGCCTGGGCGACAGGGTGAGACTCTGTCTCAGAAAAAAATAAACAAAAAAAAAAAGGTTCAGGAGGATATGTACTGAAAAGTCTTCCTCCTTCCCCGTCCCCAGCAACCTAGTTCCCCACTCTGCAGGCAGCAAACGCTGTCTCCTCCTGGGGTCGCTTCCAGAGAGGTGTGCCTGTCCTAGCAAGGGGCCTCAGGACATTTCTCATAGCTGCCCTCCTGCTTGCTCTTTCTATCACAGGCACAGTGGCACGCCACCACAAGCTGCTCTGGGCCGGGCCTTTTGTTTTTGTTTTTTTTTTTGAGACGGGGTTTTCGCTCTTGTTGCCCAGGCTGGAGTGCAATGGCGCAATCTCGGCTAATCGCAACCTCTGCCTCCCGGGTTCAAGCGATTCTCCTGCCTCAACCTCCCAAGTAGCTCGGATTACAGGAGTGCGCCACCACATCTGGTTAATTTTGTATTTTTAGTAGAGATGGGGTTTCTCTATGTTGGTCAGGTTGGCCTCGAACTCCCGACCTCAGGCCTCCCAAAGTGCTGGGATTATAGGTGTGAGCCACCACGCCCAGCCGTGCTGGGTCTTTTTTCTTAGCAGTATGGCCGGAAGGTCACCCTCCATCCAATGGAGAGCCTCGCCGCCTTTGCTAAACCTCTCTGTGGTATTCTGGGGTGGGGTGCTCCTTAGTTTATAGATTATTTACCAGACCATGGCTGATAGATGGTGAGTTGTTTCCAGTGTTTAGCTTCTGCTGCTGTGAGTAGCATTTATTTAAAAAAAAAAAAAAAGTTTATAGAAACGCTGTATTGCCCAGGCTAGAGCGCAGTGGCACGATCTTCGCTCACTGCAACCTCCATCTCCCAGGTTCAAGTGATTCTCCTGCCTCAGCCTCCCAAATACCTGGGATTACAGGCACACGCCACCACGCCTGGCTAATTTTTATATTTTTTTAGTAAAGACGGGGGTCTTGCCATGTTGGCCAGGCTGGTCTTGAACTCCTGAGTTCAGGTGATTCACCCGCCTTGGTCTCTCAAAGTGCTGAGATTACAGACAGGCGTGAGTCACTGCACCAAGCCATGATGTTTATTATTTTTTTGGAGACAGGGTCTTGCTCTGTCACCCAGGTTGGAGTGCAGTGGTGTGATCATAGCTCACCACAGCCTTGACCTCCTGGGCTCATGTGATCCTCTTGCCTCAGTCTCTGAGGTAACTGGCGTTACTAGATGTGTGCCACAAGACCTGGCTAATATTTTTATTTTTGTAGAAATTGGGGGTCTCACTATATTGCCCAGGCTGGTCTTGAACTCCTGGGCTCAAGAGATCCTCCTGCCTTCACCTCCCAGAGGGCTGGGGTTGCAGGTGTGAGCCACTGCGCATCAACATGATGTTAATTTAACTCACAAGGCACAGAAGTGTTTTTGGCAGCCTCAGCTCCTGTGGCCTGGCTTGTCCTCGCTGGACTCTGTGTGTTTGGAAAGAATGGACTCCTGATGCTGGCAGGGATGGCCACTGTCTTTCGAGGCGTGTTTATAGGATATTCCTCCTTGAGGCTGAAACCTTGTACTTTCCATGTCACTGCTACATCAGTAGGAAAGGCTGCCATCAACCTCACATTCATATTCCTTCTTTCTCTCTCTCTCTCTCCCCCCCCCTTCTTTCTTTTTTGACGGACTCTTGCTCTGTTGCCTAGGCTGGAGTGCCGTGGTGCTAACTCAGCTCACTGCAACCTCTGCCCCCTGGGTTCAAGCGATTCTCCTTCCTCAGCCTCCTGAGTAGCTGGGATTACAAGCGTACGCCACCACGCCCAGCTAACTTTTATATTTTTACTAGCAGAGTTTCACCACGTTAGCCAGGCTGGTCTCGAACTCCTGACCTCAAGTGATCTGCCTGCCTCGGCCTCCCAAAGTACAGGGATTACAGGCATGAGCCACTGTGTCTGGCCTCACATTAATATTTTTTTGGGTTCAGTACAAGTTGAATCCTGCAGTCACTGCCTTTAGAGGCTCCTGTCCTGTGCGAATGCTGCTCATGGGGGCATGTGCACCCCAGGATGGTGAATCTCAGCCCTCTGAAGCAGGGGAAGTAAGATAAAGTAGTGAGATGGCATCCAGAGAGGAATGGGCGAGGGGAATTCAGGATTGAGGCATGGTCATGAATCCTCACTCTGCTCCTGCCAGCTCTGTGAGAGGCGGTGGCAGAGGACATTTGTAGGATGCCCTGGAGGAGCAGGGTGGGCAGGAACCGGACCAGCAACGATGACAGAGCACAGCGTCTCCAGGCGCAGGGAAGCAAAGGGCATGACAAAAGCACAAGCAGAGGCCCCAGCCCAACCTAGAGGACAGGGTGCTCCAGAGAAATAGCCAATAGATAGAAATATCAGCATTCAAAGAGATTTATTGCAAGGCACTGGCTGATGTGATGGTGGGGTCTGGTGAGGCGAGTCCCAAACTGCAGGGCAAGCCTTCCTCAGAGGCAGCCGGGACGACTCGACAGGAGCTGGCGCTACAGTCCACAGGCGGAGTTTCTTGTCCTCAATGAAATGATCAGGCCCACCCAGATTATTCGGGGTAACCTCCTTCACCTCAAGTCACAGCAGCGACTGGATTTGCGCTTGCCTGAGTACCTGGGGGCTGTGGCCTAGCCGGGGGAACACCTCAGCCTGACGGATCATCCCTGGGCTCAGCCCCTCAGTGCTCCTGCTGGTCATGCCGGGGTCACTCACGTGGCTTCAGCTTGGCTGGGGCTGGATGGCCTGGGATGGCCTTTCTTGCGTGGCTGCTGCTTGGTGCTGGCTGTTGGCGGGGCTGGCTGTCTGCAGCAGGCCAGCGTGGATCCTTTTTCCAGGGGCTCCAGTGGAAGCTGAGGTCCCGTGTTTCCTGATGCCCCCGGGGCCACAGCAAGTTGCATGGAAGCCACGTGAGGTAAACTCCAACCTGTTGACCAGAGGGGTAGCAAATGAGTGACCATACAGGATCTGGAAGAATTTGTGGCCACTTTGGGGGTCATTTGTACCCTCTCCAGAGGGTAAGATCAGAAAACAGTTTAGCAACCACTGAGCCCAGCACTGCTTGGATTGTGTTAAATGAGTGTAAGAGTCTTAATTTCCTAGACTTGCAGGATGGGCACTGGCTAGTCCCATTGTGTATTTGCTCCGGCTGCCCCCAACAAAGTTCCATGGCCTGGGAGGCCTGTAGGGGCTCCCAGAAGTTAATTTTCTCACAATTCTGGAGACTGGAAGTTTTAGATCAAGAGGTGGGCAGGGTTGGTTTCTTTTCTCCTTGGCTGTAGATGGTGTCTTCTCCCTGCATCCTCATAGGGCCGTCCCTCTGTGCACATCTGTGTCCTCATCTGCTCTTCTTTTTTTTGAGACAGAGTCTTGCTCGGTCGCCTGGGCTGGAGTGCAGTGGTGCGATCTTGGCTTACTGCTAACTCCACCTCCCGGGTTCAAGTGATTCTTCTGCCGCAGCCTCCCGAGCAGCTGGGATTACAGGCATGCGCCACCACGCCCAGCTAATTTTTGTATTTTTTGTAGAGAGGGGGGTTTCGCTATATTGGCCAGGCTGGTCTCGATCTCCTGATCTCAGGTGATCCACCCGCCTTGGCCTCCCAAAGTGCTGGGATTACAAGGGTGAGCCACCACGTCCGGCCCTCACCTCCTCTTCTCATAAGGAAACCAGTCCTGTTGGGTTAGGGCCACAATAATAACCTTATTTTAACTTAATTACCTCGTTAAAGTTCCTTTCTCCAAATGCAGTCACCTTCTGAGCTGCTGGGAGTCAGGGCCTCAGCATGTGGATTTGGAGGGGGACGTGGTCTATCCTGTAGCACCTGATCTGTCCCCACCTCCTCCCTGCTTTGTGCTGTGCTATCCTCATCACTTCATGACTCACATTTGTTGGTGCCCAGCGTGTGCCAGGCCCTGTGCTGAGTCTGTGTGTATGACTTCATGGAACCATTCTTCTTTCCCTGTAGCCACAAGAGGATCCTTCATTCACCTCTGAGGACCATCACCAGGCAAACCGGCCCTTAGAGTATTAATAGGGTTTGGCTGTGTCCCCACCCAAATCTCATCTTGAATTGTAGCTCCCATGATCTCCACGAGCCGTGGGAGGGATCTGGTGGGAGGTCATTGAATCCTGGGGGTGGAGTTTCCCCCCCATTCCTGTGATCGTAAGTCTCACGGGATCTGATGTTTTTATAAAGGGGAGTTCCCCTCCACACGCGCTCTGCCTGCTGCTGTGTAAGACGTGACTCGGATCCTCCTTCGCCTTCCACCGTGATTGTGAGGCCTCCCCAGCTATGTGGAACTGTGAGTTCATTAAACCTCTTTCCTTTATAAATTACCCTGTCTCAGGCATGTCTTTATAGCAGTATGAAAATGGATTGATACAAATATCCACATGGTCAGTTTCTGCTTCAGCATGAGAAGATACCACTCTATGTCTGACTGAACACCAGATCCTGGTGGTTAGGGCCCAGGCCATATGAAAAATATTTATCAGAAAACAACTCCAACCCCAAAGAGTTAAATGTGTGAGTTACATGTAGGGATAATACAACTCTATGGTAGGACTGAAAAACTGGAAACAGTGTAAACCTTGAAAGAGAACAGGCACATTAGGAGCGCTGGTGGAGTCAGCTGGGGTAAACCTAGGCGGTAGGGGGCTGGACCACACCGCTGTTAGGGACAGGTGGGTCTGCGTGTGTCCATAGGGAAAGGTCTCCAAGGTACATATTGTTTAAAAAGCTAAGTGTGGAACAGTATTGTATTAGGTTGCTAGGGCTGCTGTAACAAACGACCACAAACTAGGTGGCTTCAAACAGCAGAAATTGACTAGGTATGGTGGCTCAAGCCTGTAATCCCAGCACTTTGGGAGGCCAAGACGGGCGGATCACGAGGTCAGGAGATCGAGACCATCCTGGCTAACACGGTGAAACCCCGTCTCTACTAAAAAATACAAAAAACTAGCCGGGCGAGGTGGCGGGCGCCTGTAGTCCCAGCTACTCGGGAGGCTGAGGCAGGAGAATGGCATAAACCTGGGAGGCAGAACTTGCAGTGAGCTGAGATCCAGCCACTGCACTCCAGCCTGGGCGGCAGAACGAGACTGTGTGTCAAAAAAAAAAAAAAAACAGCAGAAATCTATTCTCTCAAAGTCATAGAGGCCAGAGGTTTGAAAGCAAGGTGTGAGCAGGGCCCCTCTCCCTCTGAAGACCCCAGGGAGGCTCCTTCCTTGTCTCTTTTAGCTTCTGCAGGGCGTCGCCTGTCACCTGCAGGCCTTGGTGCTGCTGGGTACAGCATAATTCCAGTCTCTGCCTGCTTGTTCACATGGCCTTCTGTGTGTCTCCACGTTCCCTCTCCTTTTTCTTATCTAGACCCCAGTCATTGGATTTAGGGCCCACCCCAAATGCAGGACGATTTCATCTAAAACCTTTAAGTTAATTACAGCTGCAAAGATCCTATATCCAAATAAGGTCCCATTCAGAAGAACCAGTACTGGGACATGGACATCTCTTTTTTGGGAGGAATGCTATACAAATAGATAAGATGTGATTTCTGTTGTGCAAACAAAAGAGATTTGTATGCTGTTAGATGTATGTAAATTTTCAGAGAGGAGACCCAAGACACCAACAATAGTGATTACTTTTGGAGGCAATGGAGAGAGTCCTGATGTATGGATTTGTGAACTATTCACAAATTTTTATCTTGCACGTGTATAACTTCATATAAAGTACTGCTTCCTGAGTTATCTAGCTTTTGAGGTCATGGATTACTTTGAGCTTCTTTACATTTTAATGTATTTTTAAAAAATGCTAATACATTTTACGAAGATTTTTACAATAAAAGTATTCAGGCCCTGATCTTCTCTGAATATATCCTGATTACTTCATTGCTGAGATAAATTACAGAAGACTCAAACATAGAAGACCCTGTTTATGGACTGGAAGATCAGTTACTTTTTTTTTCAGACAGAGTCCTCCTCTGTCGCCCAGGCTGGAGTGCAGTGGTATGATCTTGGCTCACTGCAGCCTCTGCCTTCCAGGTTCAAGTGATTCTCCTGACTCAGCCTCCTGAGTAGCTGGGATTACAGGTGCACACCACCACGCCCGGCTAATTTTTATATTTGTAGTAGAGACGGGGTTTCATCATGTTGGTCAGGCTGGTCTCGAACTCCTGACCTCATGATCTGCCCATCTTGGCCTCCCAAAGTGCTGGGATTACAGGCGTGAACCAGTGCGCCTGGCCAGATCAATTACTTTTAAGATATCAGTTCCCCCCAAATTAATCTAAAGATTGAACACAATCCTAATCAAAATCTCAGCATCTAAAAAGAAATAAAGAAATGGATAAGTGAATTATAAAATATACAGGGAAATGCAAAGAACCTGAAATTATCTAAACAGCCTCAAAAAAGAACTGGGTTGGAGGACTCACATGACCTTATTTCAAGACTTAAGTATAAAGTTACATAGTCAGTGCACTGTGACTTGGCGAAGAATAGACAAATACTATTCACGGAACAGAAAAAAAATCCAGAAATGGGCCCACAGGTATACATGGTTATTCTGTTTCTGACAAAAGAAAATCATCAGGGACAGAAACCTCTTTTCAACACGTGATGTTGGACAACTTGGTTACCCATACACATAAAAATGAAAGACCCGTGGCCCCTAATTCACATGGCACGTGGCAATTAATTTGAGCTGGCTCAGACATTAACACAAAAGTGAAGGTAATAAAGTTTCTAAAAGTAAATATGGGTGAAGCGGGAAAATTGCTTGAAGCCAGGGGTTTGAAACCAGCCTGGACAATAAAAAGTTGTTTTTTTAAAGTTAGCTGGTTGTGGGCCAGGCGCGGTGGCTCACACCTGTAATCCCAGCACTTTGGAAGGCTGAGGCAGGCGAATCACTTGAGGTCAGGAGTTCTAGACCAGCCTGGCCAATATGGTGAAACCCTGTCTCTACCAAAAATATAAAAAATTAGCTGGATATGGTGGTGCATGCCTGAAATCCCAGCCACTCAGGAGGCTGAGGCAGGAGAATCACTTGAACCCGGAAGTGAAAGTTGCAGTGAGCCGAGATCATGCCACTGCACTCCAGCCTGGGTGACAGAACGAGACTCTGTCTCAAAAAAAAAAAAAAAAAAAGTTAGCTGGCTGAGGTGGTGCAACCAGCTAGTAGCTGCTGCTACTTGGTAGGCTGAGGCAGGAGGATGCTTGAGCCCAGGAGTCCAGAAGTTTGAGGCTGCAGCGAGCCATGATTGCGCTACTTACTGCATTCTAGCCTGGATGACAGAGCAAGACCCTGTCCCTAAAATATAAAAATAAAATGAAATAAAATAAAAGGCCAGGCACCATGGCTCATACCTGTAATCCCAGCACTTTAGGAGGATGAGGTAGACAGATCACTTGAGGCCAGGAGTTTGAGACCAGCCTGGCCAACATGGGGAAAGGCCATCTCTACTAAAAGTACAAAAATTAGCAGGGCGTGGTGGTGCATGCCTGTAATTCCAGCTACTTGAGGGGCTGAGGCTCAAGAATTGCTCGGACCCGGGAGGCGGAGGTTGCAGTGAGCCAAGAATGTGCTGCTGCACTCCAGCCTGGGCAATAGAGCAAGGCTGTCTCAATAAATAAATAAATAAATAAATAAATAAATAAATAAGAAGTAAATACAAAAGAATACCTGCAACTTTTAGGCTGACAAAGGTCTCTTGGTTTCTAAAACCGAGAGTTATTTTCAAAAAATTGACAAATTAGACTTTGTCAGATTTTAAAACTTGTACTCATCAAATGATACCATTAAGAACATGAGCCAGAAAGCCTCAGACTGGGAGAAAATACTTGTAATACGAAGAACTTGTATGTAGAATATACAAAGGACTCTTACAAATTAAGAAAAAAAAAGGACAGAGAATGCCTTTTTTTTTTCTTTTTCTTTTCCTTTTCTTTTTAATGGGCAAAAGACTTCAAGTAGTTCACCAAAGATGATATCTGTTTTTATTTTTAATTTATTTTTTACTTTTTGAGACAGAGTCTCGCTTTGTTGCCCAGGCTAGAGTGCAATGGTGCGATCTCAGCTCACTGCAACCTCTGCCTCGTGAGTTCAAGCGATTCTCCTGCCTCAGCCTACCTAGTAGTTGGGATTACAGGTGCCCACTACCACACGCCCAGCTAATTTTTTTTCTTTTTTTTTTTTTTTTTGGAGACAGAGTCTCGCTCTGTCGCCCAGGCTGGAGTGCAGTGGCGTGATCTCGGCTCACTGCAACCTCTGCCTCCCGGGTTTATGCCATTCTTCTGCCTCAGCCTCCCGAGTAGCTGGGATTACAGGCACCTGCCACCACGCCTGGCTAATTTTTTGTATTTTTAGTAGAGACAGGGTTTCACTGTGTTAGCTAGGATGCTCTCGATCTTCTGACC